GGGGCATTTGAGCTGGGTGTGCTGAGGTCAGGTCTGTGTTCCCCTCTGGGAGGGGACACTTTTCTTGGTGGTGGTAGGTCCGAGGTGGCCTGGCTGTTCTTTGGAAGGAGATGTTGGGTGCAGGCTTCTGTAGTTCCAGTGCTGACACGTTTGGTTTTGTTCTGGAAGTTCTGGGTGAGTGGATAGGGATCTATGGGAGCAGAGGGTATTCCTAGGGGCCTCTTTCTTGGAGAGACTGAGACTGGGGCCTGTTCTCCGAGCCCTGAAGTATGAGAGCCGGCAGAACCCAACCCTATGTGTACTGCCTCCTACCTTCCTGAGTACCCTCTCCAGGGGCACTGCCCTGGCCCACTTCCTACCAGCCATGCACAGAGTCGCCCCTGGGGCCGCAGTCTCCATGCCCATTTCTGGTGTGGCACTGTAGGATCAGCACTGCTCTGTGAACTGCAAGGTTGGTGGTTCAAACCCACCAGCTTCTCCTCAGAAACCCTATACAGGATTGCTACAAGTTGCACCTGACTCAGGACACTAACAACAATAGCAGGGTCCCTTTCAGTCTGATTTTCCAAACTGTGATCTTGGCCTCATTTGAACTCCTCTTTCTGCCTAAATGCTTGACCCTCTGTACTACCCACGAGGAACCGTGGTGGGGCAGTGGTTAAGCGCTTGGTTCTAACCAAAAGGCGAGTAGAAACCCTATGGGGCAGTTGGATTCTATCCTGTTGGGTCGCTGTAAGTTGGAACCCACTGATTGGCAGCGCAGATGGTTTTAATGGGTTTTGTGGTACCCTCACTTCCTCTGTGCCCCTCACAGGCATTTCCGCCTTGATTTGAAAGTTTGGAGGGCTGTTCTTTTTGGAAAGATTGCTCACAGAGACTGTGGGGACTCCAGTGCAATCATTGCACCCCGAGAATACTGGTAATACCTGACACTAGCCTTCTTCACATGTATTGTGTGCCAGGTGTGGTGTTGAGTGTCTCCGAGGTGTCTCTGCATTCATTCCCCACAACAACCCAACCACATTGTCCCATAGGACAGATTGGGAAATTGACGTTCTGAGAGTCTGAGTGACTTGCCTGAGGTAACCTAGCCAGAAAGTGAAGTATGCCTACTTCCCTATCCTGTCCCACAAATGGAAGTGTGGCCAGCAAGCACAGGTT